GGGTTTTGGGGTATGTTGGATGGACGGATGAATAAAGGACAGATGGACGGGTTTAGGTCTAGGTTTTAGTTCGCGGTGTAAGGTTTAGGAGCTGTGGTTGAGAGGTCTTCAAAGGATTGATGTTTCTGAGGTGGCAAAGGGAGTTTCAGGAGCTGCGGGGTTAGTTAAGGGAGTGTAGGGTGTAGTAGCTGAGGAGGTTCAGGGATTCACGGCGTTGGGTTCAGGGTTCTAGGGCAGATGAAGTTGGCATTGCAGGCCCCAGCTGCACGGAAACTGCCACATGTTATTGAGCTTCAGAGTTTGATTCCGCCACCCAGTAAAAGACTGTAAACCCACTACAAAACCGTAAACACTATCCAGAGGCCACGCAACAGTTGCAGATTCCAGATCGCATGCATTCGCTGTCGGGTTTCTGCAGTGCCTGCGCATGATAGCGGTTTCCGGCAGAGAACGACGGCATGGGCAGTCAATATAGGGGCATGAAGACTTTCCATAAAGTGTTCCCGTTCCATAACAGCCCCCAAGACCATTTTTCAATTATAAAAGAAGTATGGGCCATGCAAGAGAAAAGGCTTAGAGGCCTTTGTCAGCTTCTTCGCCTTCCTGGCTTTGTTCAGCTTTTGGTTCTTGGTCTCCGATTACAATATACCCAGGAAGTCAGTGGCTTACTAAACAGCCCCGAACGTAAATTCGAGAGGCGGCTGTGCAGCAAGGGGCTCCGCAGCGATGTGTCGAGGCGAGGGTGCCAGTTCGCTGGGGCTTTCGGGGTTCAGGCGTCTGGGGTTTTACGAGGGTTGTATGTGCTTCTTTCGGTGTTTGACCAGGTGATATTCTGATATGCAGTCATATAAGTTGTTTCAGGATGCTATAAGGGTTTGACGTCAGTGTTTCTTTTTGAGGTTTTTAGTGCTTGAAGTCTCTTGGCTTTAGCATTTGAGTTCCCGCCCCATTGTTTGTCAAAGGAGCACGATTCCAACTTTCAAGTGTCCTACATTCAACACTTAACCCGTATCTCAGACCCCAAACTACACTCTTAACCCTAAAACTCAATATATATATATATATATATATATATATATATGCTACCCCCCCCCCCCCAGGACCTACCTCGAAGCCTCTTCTTGTACTGTGTAGACGACTTTACGACTCCACTCCGGACTAAACTGTAGTATACTGCGTAGTCTTCACTGTCTACGACGACACCACACCGTTCGAACCAAAACAATACCATGAAGTATTGTCTACTGTCCTCCGTATGCTACGCTATTTAACGGCGCGCTCCTCCTGATGTTCCTTTTTTGAACCGTGATCTATAGGGTATATTATAAGCTATTGTAAACGGTATCTTAAATAGTATTCTGGAGGATATTCTATGAGGTATATTTGGGGTATACAACAGATATATTCCATAGGCGGTCTTCTGTAAGGATGGTATTCTATAGGGCATTCTATAAGGTATTCTAGAGGGTACTCCATAACGTATTGTACAAAAGGCATTCTGCGACCTATATGTAGGAAGGTATTCTATAGTGTAGGTTTTATGAAATTCATTAAGGTGCATAGAGAGTGTATTTTTATAAGGAGGTTGTAAGGATAGTTTTTCTGGTTCCTGATTTCTTCATAGGAATCCCTTACCCAAAAGCTGCAATTCAACTAGAAATTCTCAGATATTGGGCTCCGGCTGGCTTTCCATATTTAAAACCCGTATCTATAAGGTACTGTTAGGGTTTTCCATAATGGATTCTAAAAGGTAATCTAAATGGTACTGTACAAGTATTCTATATGGCATACAAAAGGTACACAGGATGTATCAAATAGAGGCGTTCTTCTTCAAAGTATTCAACGGGGCATTACGGATGGTATTATATAAGATGTGTGTCGGGTAAATCGGTGGAAAAGGTAGTCTAAAAGGCATTTATAGGGTATGTGCAGCATGTGTTTCAGAAGAGCTCTGTTCTCTGTATGTCTCCTTTGCTAGATAAGCATCGATTTTCGAGGAATTTCTAGATCCGATATTCCGCAATTCCTTGGTATGAACCCATTGCTAAATAAACCACATTCAACTGGGGAACTCTCAGATCTTGGGTGTACAAGGTGTATATGGGATATAGGAACATTATATAAAGTATTACCGTATTCTACATGAATTTCTTTACGGTTTGTAACAAGGGTACCCTGTAAGGTATTCTACAGGCATAAGTGTCCGTTGCTCAATAAGCTGCAAGAAGTTTGGGCTCCTTACGATTTACTTTACGTAAATCCTGATCTATACGGTTTTTGCTGGGTATCCCAAAGGGGATTCTCAAGGGCATGTATAAGGTATAAGGGGAGTATCATGCATAGCGCGTTTATAAAACATTCTGTAAAGTATTCCACATGGTATTTTAAAAGGCACATATAGGGTATATAGGAGAAAACAAGGTATTCTATCGGGCACTCTATAGGGTATCTATAGGGTATCCCAAACTGTAACGTATAAAAAGTGTTCTATAGGGTGTATATATAGGACAGATTTTTATAAGGTGTTTCATGAGATGCAGGGTATTCCATAAGGTATATCATACAGAGTATATACTTCATAAACTGAGTAGTTTGTGTGAAATCCTGGACAAGGTTTTCTATGAACAGTCTATAAGGTATCTATAGGGTATCCCAAACTGTAACGTATAAAAAGTATTCTATAGGATGTATATATAGGACAGATTTCCATAAGGTGTTTCATGAGATACAGGGTATTCCATAAGGTATATTGTACAAAGTATATACTTCATAAACTCTATATGGCACGACCTGAGTATTTCCTGTGAAATCCTGGACAAGGTTTTCTATGAACAGTCTATAAGGTATCTATAAGGTATCCCAAACTGTAACGTATAAAAAGTATTCTATAGGGTGTATATATAGGACAGATTTCTATAAGGTGTTTCATGAGATACAGGGTATTCCATAAGGTATGTTTTACAGAGTATATACTTCATAAACTCTATATGGTACGACCTGAGCATTTTCTATGAAATCCTGGAAGGGATAAGGGGGTATTCTATAGTGGACTTTGAAGGGTATTTGTTTACAAGTAGGCTCTTGATGTCCACCATGGGAACCCGTTACTCAATAAGCTATAACTCAGCTGGACATTCGCAAATCTTCGGCTCCGACTCATGTTCCATATCTAAACCTATCTGTACAGTATTTATTTTATTTATGCTCACAAGGACAGGACTGGAGCTGGAATTACAAGATCTTTTGACTTTGATTAGCTGCAGCTTGGATCATCACACATTTGTTGCCATGCGATCAAACTGTCAAGCACAGCAATCCGCTCGCAAATCTTCACTGCAGGACTGGCCATGTGGCACATAAAAGAGCAAGCCGATATATTTAGTGAATACTTATATGGTTTCCAGCGACCTGGCTGCATTAGAACGCGCATTAAAAAAATAAATTTTAATGCAGCCTGGCCCGTGGAACCAAGAACCAAGAACCAAGATTCCCAGGAGTCTTGAATCCTGAATCTTGGTTCCACGGTCACCGGCCGGGTTGCATTAAAATTTGCATTAAAAAATTAAATTTTAATGCAGCCTGGCCCGTGGAACCAAGAACCAAGAACCAAGATTCCGAGGAGTCTTGAATCCTGAATCTTGGTTCCACGGTCACCGGCCGGGTTGCATTAAAATTTGCATTAAAAAATTAGATTTTAATGCAGCCTGGCCCGTGGAACCAAGAACCAAGAACCAAGATTCCCAGGAGTCTTGAATCCTGAATCTTGGTTCCACGGTCACCGGCCGGGTTGCATTAAAATTTGCATTAAAAAATTAAATTTTAATGCAGCCTGATCCGTGGAACCAAGAACCAAGAACCAAGATTCCCAGGAGTCTTGAATCCTGAATCTTGGTTCCACGGGCCTGGGTGCATTGAAATTTAATTTTTTAATGCAGATTTAATGCAGCCCGACCAGTGCCCGCGGAACCAAGATCCAAGAATCAAGACTCCTGGGCATCTTGGTTCTTGGTTCTTGGTTCCACGGGCCTGGGTGCATTAAATCTAATTTTTTTAATGCAGATTTAATGCAGCCCGACCAGTGCCCGCGGAACCAAGATCCAAGAATCAAGACTCCTGGGCATCTTGGTTCTTGGTTCTTGGTTCCACCGGCCACGGTGCATTAAATTTTAATTTTTTAATGCAGATTTTAATGCAGCCCGGCCGGTGCCCGTGGAACCAAGATTCAGGATTCAAGACTCCTGGGAATCTTGGTTCTTGGTTCTTGGTTCCACGGGCCGGGCTGCATTAAAATTTAATTTTTTAATGCAGATTTTAATGCAACCCGGCCGGTGCCCGTGGAACCAAGATTCAGGATTCAAGACTCCTGGGAATCTTGGTTCTTGGTTCCACGGGCCGGGTTGCATTAAAATTTAATTTTTAATGCGGGTTTTAATGCAGCCGGGCCTCTGGTATAGTCATGTTCGTATACACGATTCTTCAAACACCTATTCCATGTTGCATGTGTGTGCGTGTGTGTGTATGTATGTGTGTGCATGGGTAAAGAAGTGTGGTATCATATATGTAGACAGACGGGTTTGGAGGTAGGTCCTGGGGGGGGGGGGGGTACCATATATATGTATGTATTCATTACTCGCAGACCCCGAAAGAGGCTCTCGTGGTTCTGGGCTTCGGTGCCAGGGTGAAGCGTTTCGGTTTCAAGGTGCGGAAGTTTAGGTTCAATCATGTGTCAAACAACCTTAAACCCTCCCCAAGAAAAATCAGACTCCATGAGCCTCAAACTTCAATGTCTTGAAAGTTCTCAGGAGTCTAGGCGCCAGAAACTTAAAACCAAAGCCTGTTGTGGCCATGTAGCCCCATATACCGCTGCAGGGATCCTAAGCCTCAGCTCAAAAGAAGGAAGTCACGCTCTACTAAACCCTCACATAGGCCGTTAACGTAGCTTCAAGGGACCAAAATCTTGACCCTAAGCCCAAAAGAAGGAAGCCACGCCACACTTCTTCATGCTCTTTCCACTGGCGGATGCCTACTTCGCTCAGCCTCACTACGCCGCGCTGGAGTCGGTACTGCGCTTCGGCAACCTCGGGTTTATGGTTCTCCTTTTCGGTTTAGACATACATACAACTTCTTTAGGAGTCATAGGTACTTATTGTGGCAGCTACCTGACTTGCCTTACTTGTATTGGCGCTTTCCTGGTCTCCTTAGACTAAATGCTATCAGCCTCTTTTTTGGACATAGCAAGGGAGACCTTGCAGTGATGCATTGCAAGCCCAAAAGCCCTAAAGCATGCGGTGTCATCCCACACCCCAGCCGCCAGCCCCAGATGCGAAGCCCCTGAGTCCTATGCCCTGACCCCCAAAGCCCCGAGGCAAAACGCAATCCTAAACACTGAAGCCCAAACGACATGAGCATACGACATAATCGCGATTACCAAACGTCCTAAACCATACATCAGAAAATAGATAAAGACAGGTTTCACCACCCAGCCGCATCTGTACTCGTCATCGGTCTCGAGCGAGATGGCTCCATGTTCCAAGCATACCAGCGAGAAGGCGGGATGTTAAGGGTTGTTTTTTTTTGTGGTTTCAGGCCTCTAGGGGACTTGCGAAGTAGCGTTATAAATGGTGTTCATGGGGTCCTTATCTGTCTATAAGGGTTTTAAGAGGTTCATGGGTGTTTTAGGGTTTGCTTACGGATCGGGTCTCAATTAGAACCGACACACTAATTTGATAGCTATGTCTTATTCGGTTTCAGGTATCTGCCTAAGTCCGCCGGTCCCGCAAGTCAGGTTTGCGGTTCAAACTCCTACGGTGCCAGGACCATGGTTCAAGGAACTCTCCGCGGAAATCTTCAGCGACGATTGTTTGAGTGTGGGCGATCTAAAGTTTGCGTTTCCGGCTGCCCATCCCCCCTCCCCACCAGACAGTGGCTACTCCATGCACCGTGAACCCCAAAAGCCTCAACAGTGCTCAATCCTGCCTCCTTCACAGGCTATTGCGTGACCACACTGCGCGCAGACATGCCGGCGCTCGGCAAGGAGCGAAAGCCAGGTTGAATGCGTGTGGTCTAGGGCTTCGGGGTTGTCGGCTTTGTGATTTTCGGCATTTGGTCAGGTACGGTACAACTAGAACACCGCACTGCAACACCGGTTCTGGGAGGGTTACTATGCGGCTTACTGCATGCCCGGGCGATGATTGTTTTTGAGGTTCATGACTACAGTTATGAGTGGGGTTATAAGTATTGTAACCAGAATTACAACAGAACACCACGCCCTGATGGCGTGTATTTTCGTGTATAGTTCTTTCCATGCTTGAGGTACGGACCTCAGCGACTTCATGGATGTGGCGTCGTCAGTTTCAGTTACACGTTAGACTGTTTCGTTGTATGAGGAAGACAGAGTTGGAGGCGTATCCATAGCATATATTGCACAAGTAGCTACACGTACGTATTCATACAGGAAGCATGGCTCGCAACACACAGTCATCAGACTAGATACCCGTGCTTCCTGCGTCATGGCGCGTAAGCGATGCATGGGATGTGCAGCTTGGGGACAAGATCGATGCAAATGTGAAGCGAAGCCAAAATCATCTACAGCTTCATCGACGCCCAGGGCACAGAAGTCCGCGTCAGCTACAAGATGCCCTGCATCGGGTCTTACATCGACGAAGAAAGTGCCGAAGACCAAGAGTATTAGAGACACGCTCATCTCCACATCGTCTTCTTCCGCATGCAACGTTGATCAGTCCAAAATCTTGAAACTTCAGATCGAGCAAGAAAATATTCGTCTAGCTACGATTCGAGCTGCAGAGACTGTTAAGGGGACGCTCCAGGACAAGATCTTGAAACGCAAGCGTGAAGTAGAACAGAAAAACAATTGGCGTTACCGGGGTTACCATAGGAATCAGCAGTACTACCAGCGGCATAAGCAGCGCGCGTGTGCAAGCTCCAGCAATTCTCAATGGCGGCACGAGGGAAATCGGGGACAGAAGGGCGAACAGGAACAATGACAACAGCGGGGAGGACACAAGCGACAACGGGGACACAGGGGACAACGGAGACACAGGGGACATCGGGGACACAGGCGGGACAGTGGGGACACAGGCGACAGGGGGGACACAGGGGACAGCGGGGACACAGGCGGGACAGCGGGGACAGAAGAAATAGCGGGGACACGGGGGACAGCGGGGACACGGGGGGCAGCGGGGACACAGGGGACAGTGGGGACACAGGGAATAGCGGAATAGCGGGGACACAGGCGACAGCGGGGGCACAGGGGTAGAAAGGGAAAGAAACACAGAAAGCAGAGCGAGAGAGAGAAGTACACCATCAATCATGGCTCAATCGTATACACTCGAGAAGCGGCAATGTACATCTGTTCCATCCCGCAGTGAGGTCATCGTATTGGTAATACTCTATTTGATGATGTACTCGAAACAGAAATGGAGTCATCATCCAGGGATCGTGCTTCCGCCACAAGTTACATCTCTGGATACGTGCAGGCATCAATTACCAGAATTTACGAGATGACGACAATCGTGCCCTCGTCCAGTCGTAGTTAACGCAGGTTTCCGATGGATGCCTTGTATGCCAGCGCACGCTCGGCGGTCATGGCCCCTGCCTCAGTCGTATTACGAAGCAACTTCATATACAGTAATAGCGATTTGCTTCCATTCTTTGTCCCAGACGTGATGCTGCTTCAATTTTATTGTTCGGGTTCCGCTGCCGTTCAGCTCTTGGTGCCACGATCTCACAGACATCTCTGGCCGACTCGCTGGCATCCGAAGCATGTCTTCGGATCACATTCCAGATACGCTGGAACATATACTTGAGACAGTCATGGAGGAGGAGATGGTTGCCAATAGTAATAGATCTCAACCACCAGCAAAGAGAGCGAGAGGTCCTCATATGTGCCGCTCTTAGTCGGAAAATCATGAGACTACTGTGATGACTTTTTTTGTTCATAAGTCGGATTCAGATTTCGTGCTTTCGAGCAGATCCAACGCGAGAATCGTGCAGCGGAACCAGCACAACATGTCCTCGGCCACCGGCAGAGCCTGCCATGCTGAGGCTGATAGGTCATTATCAGCAATGGAGTAGGGAGGCTTTCCAAACGGCTGGGTTCGAAGTCTAAGAGATCGCGGGCTTCTGCAGACATGTGTGCGACCTTGACGCCGCCAACTATATGCTCTCCAATATGCAGAAGCTGACGGTTGCTTTGCTTATGGAAGGGCATCGATTCCGCGCACATTAAAGACAGATCTTCGTCTACGAGGATGGTGCATGGGTGCCGCAGCAATGGAAGTTAAAGCCTGGAGAGTCTTGGCGACATGGCCGAAGGAGGTAGTAGTGTTCGAGCCCGTCTCGCAGACGCAGCTAAGCAACATAGCGATCATGTTCGTCTCACAACCGGCAATAAAGTCTAGCGTGGCCATTGGTCGCGCCGAGTTGCAGACATGATAGCGCAGCTTCGAAAGAGTTGGGAAGATGAACCATGTGGCAAAACACTGTCTAAGCTGACCGAGTGCGACATGCCCTTGCCGCTCTCTGGGGGTGTTTGCTTCGGAGACGTCTATCTCGACGACAACTGCAATGTTGTGATCAAGTCTCCGGAAGCTATAATTGTTATCTGAAGCTCGCTTATGTCTTTTGCTATGTGATTTGGACATCGATTTCGTTCGCGGTCGCCTGCGGACATTTCTCAAATCTTCCTAAATTGACACCTGTCCCAACTGATGTTGTGCTTTTTTTCATGCGGCATTCAAGAAGAAATGCACCGGCAAGATCATCTTCCAGGTCTGTAAGGGCGGCGATGGAGGCTTCCTTGGACAGGGCACTGTTCGGCGATCTTGTTTCCGCTACTCTTGATTGTGGTGTTTTCCTAGATCGGTGTGAACTTTGGAAGTCTGGAGAACTGGCATGGAACGCCGCCAACGTGCGGATCCAGGAGATGGAGCGCAGTGGGCACTTCGGTGCAGACGTTTGGAAAAGGTTCGCAGTCGGCGAAGATATGGATTGCCGTGTTGTGAACTATGGTTTCACGAGCAAGCGGAGATTCGGCAGTTCCATGAAGACACAAGAGTTGAACTTCGAGAAGATATCCCAACAATAGAGGAATGCCGTGACAAGAACAAATCTTGTGATCAATTGAAGCGGCGTGCCATGTGCCTTATCATGGGCAAGGCCACACTCACAATGGAGGACGACAAGGTGGACCATGCACGAGGGATTTACCGCTTCATTCCGCAAGACGACCTCATGGAAGCTTTGTCGCATCCAGTCGCAAGGGCTGTCTATCTGCGGGAGGTTTGCACTCCCTTCTTCCGCGAGAACTCGATCAAGGACTGCTTGCAGATGATCCATGATCTCAAGAATGTTCACGAGAATGTAGAAAGAGACACACATTGGCTATCAGTTTGCCTTTCTGGGGGTAGTCTTCGCCCCCTGGTTTCGTAAATGAGAATGCTGAGCAGTACAATCAGCTCATCTGTATTGTTCACGCCTTCACGCCCAATGCACGGCAGTTGAAGCAGTATCTTATTCAGAAAGTCGATGGTCTTGCAGGATGTGTAATGTCATCTAAAGGCAAAAGAACCAAAATGATGAACTTCATTGAGGCCATGGACTCCAGCGAGTTCGTCTTGTTCAAGCAGGTTGATGCGCACACCTTCCACAAGCTCTTGATCAACTGGGGGAAGCTATCCGAGTGCATGCAAACACATGCGGATCGAATGTCTTCGGCCGGTGGTCTGCTTGGGGATGCCCTTTCGAGCACATGCACGCCCAGGAAAAGTGGGATGGTTCTGCTTTCGAAGAATAGCGACGGGCCATGATGCGCCATCGCACATCGGCTGGGGATGTCACTGCAGTAGGCCGGACGACGCAATGTGTTCTTTCTGAGACTGTAGATGTTCACGCTCTCCAACAATATTACGTGCATCAGCACATGTTCACTAAGGTTTCGAGCTCAGCAAGAACCAGCGCTTTGCAATCAGTTGTCGTTGAGTACATGCAAGAGAACACATAAATCACATGCGAGATTCCCGAAATCCAGATACCAAAAACTCGTGTAGAAATTCTTAAATTAACGCCACCCGGCTCTGCGACCCATATTAGGGGATTTAACCCTACTTAAAACTACCTCTGAACCTCCAAGTAAGGCCCTTCATTCTACAAGCCTCTTCCAGGAGTTGGTCGCAGCCGTGGGCAGCGAGCACAGCTCGTCCATTGAAGCTTTTTTGGTGCCCCAGCTGCAGCCACCGGGTTTGCCTTCGTCTGCTCTTGTTCAGAGCTAGGAACTATGGTGCTTATTGTAAGGCTTTCGGGAAGGGTTGAACGGTTCAGAAGACAATGGGCCGTTGCTTGCGAGGCGCGGCGCCATGTAAGCCGGAAGGGAAGTAAATCATTGAGCAGGCTACGACAAATGGCTCGGGGTTTGGGAGTTTAGGAGTCCTCCATGGCCAAGACCATCATGTTCATCAGTTCCATCACATGTGCCCTCAATTCTGAACTCCTTGGCCTAGAACCCCGAAGCCCGATTTGAAGGTCGATACTTAAACCCTAAACCTACATTTTTGTAAATGCTACCCCTTAATTATTCATCAAGGCTAAGGTAACAAAAAGCCTCGAAAATCCCAAGGAAAGCCACGGACATCCTAAGACGGAAGCAGCGCTGCTTCGACTTTTCAATGTCGTGCTCCTCGTCCTACAGGCTGGAACGCGTCGAGAATCCCTTCCTCACTCGTAACTTAGGGTGTAGGCTTTATTTAATGAAGGGCAGACCTTGCTGTAGGGCTGTAAGGTGGCTGAAATCGGATAGCGATGGGGGTGGAGGGTTTGTGGTAATACATGCTTGAATAATTGGAAACAGTATCCCCTTGCAGCCTGTGTATGTTTGTACTACAATGGGCTGCGAAACCGTCGTCTAATCCTGACGGAGAGCAACCTTGGGGACGTCAGAAGTAGATATTAGCAGGGGCCTTAGTACTGGTAAGCAGGGTGAAAAGCAAGGTAACTTGTCTTATAAGTTACACATAGCCGGTACAGCCCCAATTTATCTTATGGCTCAGCAGGTTTTTAACATATTAAAGGGGCGTAAATAATTACGAGTATTGTTTTGGGGGTTCCTTATTATAACTATATATATATATATATATAGTATAATGGGCCGCAAAGCGTTATTCAACTTGTTAACGCCCCTATATTACGTACTGAGTCCATTGGACCCCCAAGTACGGCAAGGTGATGGATGGAGGCACCAGTCTGCCTATGGAATCTGGGCGTGTTATGATGCATGGCAGGGGCCTACTTGAGATTTTTACTAGGACCCAGAGTAGGCCCTTAGGCCTTATTCCCTTTTTTGGGTTTGGGCTCCCTTATAACCCCCTTTAAACCAAAAAGGTCACCCTCTGTATTCCTAGGTTACTCTTAGGTCTAGTTTAGGATTCCCCAACTCGCCTTATGGTCAAGGTCTTTGTCAGTACATCCATATAGGTATGTCGGTGAAAATAAAGTGTTCGACGAGTACGGCATCAACCCCAATGAAAGTCACGAACCTACACTTCGAATCTGAGGATGGCGTGCTGCTGAATCCATGGGATTTCGCCCTACCTCCTGCGCTCACCTTGCAGACGACTGGAGTGCCTTGCTCAGACAGAGCTATGGTTCTTGATGGAGTCTACTACTTCTTTTTGTTTCTGACTTTTATTGAATGAACCGCCTCCACAACTTACGCTGACAGTTTTCGCCTTTGGGTTCAGTGTGTGCTGCCTCAAACCCTCAGCCCTCATCCCTGAACCCTAAACCCCCAGTTTCAGTCCTCCCAGTCTTTAAGCCCCAAGCTCTAAACCGACTGAGGGTTCCCCCGCGGTGTCCGTCCCCAGGTCTTTCTCGAGAAACTGGAGGCGACAGGCGCCATGGCACTCCTTGTGGATCCTTAACTTAGGCTCTAGGATTTGAGAAAGGTTCTTATAAGGAAATCGGAAAGGGTTCTGTGAAGGTTCTACGTGGAGTTGTTAACGCAGGTCTAGAAGGGTCTTCAGGGCGGGCCTTGCAGGCTGTAGGATTTAGGGTCGATTACCTAGGGTTTGTTGGAGCTTTACAGCTGTTATTTGTAGCGGGCTTTGAGCAAGGCGGGAAATCTATTTATAGATCAAGACCAAGAAAGTCGGAGAGAGGGTTATAAGTAAGAAAGGTATAGTCAGAAGTATACTCAGAGCTACGATTAGGATGCCTTCCGTGCCAGCTTGGTGCTAGTTACTAGTAGTGTGTCTTTACCTTCAGGATCAACCACGCGCGCCATGCGCCGTCACTGACCTACACTGCGGTCATATCTTGGCGTTGAACGTATCATAACGTAACTACCCGGCATTATCACCACACCCGTTGGGTCCTGATAGGGATGCCCCTCATGTATCCCAAGAGATTGCAAAGTCAATGTTGAACCGTATAATTAGGCGCTAGACCCTGAACCCTAAACCCTCCTGGACCTGGACCCTGCACCTTAAACTCACCCCAAGAAAACCCCCCGGTGCCTTTCGTCAGACACAGCGCTTCCCTGGGCCTTGCAAGCGGAGGACTTCGAGCGCTCTTGGTTGCCTAGGTGCGGACTTCAAGTGTTTGAAAATCAAAGAGGAAAAGGAGGGACGCTTAATGGGGACCCCTACCCTATAATGGGGCTATATAATGGGTACATAATAGCTATATTAAGGATATATACCTAGGGGTCCTTAATATAGCTTAGAAGTTGGGTTGATAAACTTTAAACTTTCTGCAATAATGAAACCCTGTCTAAAACTGAAAGTTTAAACTTTTTTGGGCTTATGAACTCGGCAACTAAGAAACAGAGTTCAAGGTTTTATACATGCTACATCTAGGTTACCTAGACGACTACCCTCTCATATACCCCCAAATACCCACTACTCAGGGCCATAAGGACTCCCTTTAAGGGTGGTCCTGGTCAAAATGCTGCAGGATCTCCGCCCGTGTTCTGCATATGGAAGTTTCCGAAAATTCGGACTACCTTATATGGGGTCCTTATAACGAGGAATTAACCATTAAGGGTACTATATTAGGGTCCCCTATTTCCGGAAACTTCCATATCACAATCGCCTCGCGTTTCAGGCTGAACGCTGAGGATTCTTCAGGCTTAGGGCTGGCTCTACATGCCTATCACTCTGCTGTCGCCGGAGTTGAAGCACCTAAACTTGTGGGATCATTTCTTGCATTCAGTCCTGCAGCGTTGTAATATGCTTGAGGGCATGCTGCACTGCAGATGTTGTCGGACGAAGATGAGGGAATTCGATTTTAATCCATTTTCCACTAGCTCTAAATCCCCAAGTTCTAAAAAGCCTCTCGAATGTAGGTTATAAACCTAAACTCCCTTGGACCCCAACCCCAGACCCTTTGAACCCCAAGCCCCTAAGCCTTTTCTGAGTCTTTTGGAGCCAGAAAAACCCTGTATCTACACACCTACACCCCTCACCTGCTTGAAGCCTGTCTTGAGCCTCTGAATCCCGGTCTCTCATGAAATCCAGCCTCCTTACAAAAAAAAGCTTTTGGAGTCCCGGTAGGAGCCCTGGGTGGTCAGAGCCCCAATGACAAGCCGATTTTGGCCCTGGACCCTAAACCGGCGCATAATTTTGATACACAGCCTTGATACACCCTCTATTACCTTGTGAAGCCTATGCCCTGTCTCATGACATTTCTGCCTTAGAGCCCATTTGGGTGGTTGTCAACATTATGGTCCCGTTTTGGGTACCCTAAATAATGGGTGCCGTATTATAATAGGGACCCAAAAACCACCCACATGAGCACATGGACCCTTAGGGGAAGGCCTCCAGACTTAGTAACTAGGGTTATAATTAGGGTAACTATACTTATAACCCCAATTCGTGTATTTATAACCTTACTTACTAAGTCTCATGATCCTCCAAGTATGAACAACTTACTACGCCAGGTCCTACTTCGACCGCTCGGACGGGGGGACCTCTCTTTGCCTAGATGCGCTTTGCCCAAGGACGTTCCCCCGAGGCCTAGCTCAGGGATCCAGGGCTTGAATAGGGATTTATATGGTGTTTCGGGCTTGGGTGTAGGGGATTAGGTTTAGGCCTTAAGCACTTTAGATTTGCATATTTCACCTGGTAGAGATCCGTATAGTACTCGTAATGGAACCACGTTAAAAAGCTATACGTATATGAATCAAGGTATCACAAGATGTTTTGCTCTGCAAGATGCCAGATGGCTTGCTCTCGTACCCATACACCGGCACCCTACTGCATAAGGAAGTGGGCTCTTTTGGTAGGTAAGACATCAGGGACCAAGTTTCAGGCTCTCGTATTTTGTTGTTGTTGCCGTTGTTGTTGTTGCTGCTGTTGTTTGCTGTTCGCTTTGGTGTTGGGTTTATCGCTTCTTTTCGAGGCTTCTCCACCGATATATATATATATATATATATATATATATATATATTTGCTTAGAACGAAACGGAGTAGGCACAAGATTCCAGGCTTCCAAGGCGCCAGATGGCTTCAGGATCAAGACTTGCGTCAGATCCAGAGCCATGATGGCCGGTTCATAGGTTACAGGTTGGGTACGGCCCCCCACTCAGTAATAGTTGAATAATATTCATAGTATAGATATATTAGGACGTTAATAGTAGCCATATCAGAGACTCCTACTGTATGGGGGCAGTACCTAAGGTGCAGGTTTGTTGTTAGGGTTTGGGGCAGTTTAGGGTGTAGGGTGCAAAGATCCCGAAACCTACATCCTGAGTCCCTCCTCCTGTTGCCGTAAACCCCGAAGCTCAAGCCGTAAACTCTAAACTCTGGACCACAGGCCCTTGAACCGGATTTTGCGTTCAGGGTCAAAGGCTGAGATCCTTTTTCGTGTTGCTTGGGGGTCAGCGAGGGTTTGCAAGGGTTTTAGGATTACACCGGGCTGCACATCCTTTTTTTTGGAACACGGGAGGAGTTTTCATGGGCTGTGGGGGTTTCAGGCTTTAAGACGTGGTTTTGCGGAGGAATCGCTGTAACCTGTAGACTGTAGACCCTAAACCCTAAAACCTAAACCGTAGACTCTTCCGGCTTTTGCTTGTAGTCTTGCGGTCTTTTGCGATTCGGACACTTCTTCAGGCAGCAGCTTTGCGCGCCGGCTGCTGTTGCTGCTGCTGCATCTTGCCGGTAGGAGTCAGGGCTTTGATGTTAAAGCCCCCGAGCTGCGCCTTCAGGAGACCCCTCAAAGGGATGTCGTGCTTCGTGCCAGCATTCCTACGATAAGTTCAATACTAGGAAATATTTCAAGATACTGCAAAGAAAGCAGGTAAGGGTAGTTTAAAATCCGTTTAAGACCAACCCTAAAGCTCCGTACCCCTGCTTGGAGGAATACGCATAAGCCTTTCTCCGAAATTCTAAAAGCCCGAACGAAAACTTACTGAACACTTGTACTACCCTGTGCAACATGTATAACCCCATCGCAGCTCCGACACGGCTTCAAAGCTGTGTTCTCTAAATCCACCTACATCCTAAACTCAATCTAATTCAGAATTTTGTACTTTAACATACATTCAGGCTCCAAGACTACAGTAACCCCTTGCATGCCCCTTCAAAAGCAGCCCTTCAAGGAACCTACTGTATTCTAACAAACCCTAAGCATCTATGTAAGCAAGCAGTATATACTTTGGCCTTACAGTATTTCCTAGGTAGGTACATTGGGCCCAAAGTATATACTATTTGGGTACATGTACCTTTGTGGGGGAAACATTAAGGCTCCCTTTACCCCAAAGCCCTTAACCCCGAACCCCAAACCCTAGACCCTAAACCCTTAACCCCTAACCCTAAACCCTAAACTAAACTCTGAACCCTAAACCCTAAACCCTGAACTAAACTCTGACCCCTAACCCTAAACCCGAAACTAAACTCTGAACCCTAAACCCTAAACCCATTTAAACAAAATATAAACCCATGAAAAAATAAACCCTAAACCCATTAAAAAAAAAAACTAAACCCTAAACCCTACCTTCTTCTAGTGCTCCAAGGACGGAAGGCCTGGCGAAGGAAGGAGTCGACATCGGCGACTTGCCACGACAACTTCTTTGCGGCTGTATGCGCAAGGGCTCCTTTAGGGTTCCACTCAGAATATAGGGCCTAATATAGGGTGGGCGTATATAAACAAATATATATATATATATATATATACAAAGGGGGAGAGAGAGAGAGAGAGAGAGAGAGAGAGAGAGAGATATATATATATATATATAGCATTCCAAGGAACTTACTCCCTGCGCAGTTGATAGTATAGTGATTCCAAAAACCCTATTCTATTCATCACGGTGTATTGGTGGATCGGCATTCCTTGAGCCCATGGGTTTAGAGTCTATGGCAGTATAACGATTGTGGTACCTACAACCCCGTAACCTACATACATGCAACTGGGCTGTTAGGGCAAGGTGGTGTGACAAGTGGGAAAGACATCCTAAGCACCGACGCCTACGTTACATGGCTGTTTTGCATTCCCGAAGCTACCTCAAGCCGCCAGCTACGCTCTCCCGCACCCAGCCTCATATTCCGGACCACGAGGGCTCTACGTGTCCTCATCAGGGCTCAAGAAAAGCTTCAAGTAGTTCTGTGCCAGTGAGGTCCCCGAACCATGCAGCCGAAAACCCTAAGGTCAGTACGCCACGATGCTCTACCGGACTTATGTTGGGCAGCGCCCAAGGCGCACGCCTTTCCTGGTGGGCGACGTGTCTCGGACCGCCGCAGACACCTCCTTGGGCTTAGGGCATGTAGGATTTAGGACTTACAGTGGTTAGGGCTTAGAGTGGTTTGGCTCAGCTGTGGTACTTCAAGTTCAGCCTGAAGCAACTGTGACTACATGACTTCCTTGTTTATGATACGCCTGTTTACTTGATATCTTGATCCTTCCAGCAGGATTAAGGTTGAGAGTCCGGCTCCAGGTAGACTGGTCAGAGCATGATTTCGGGTGTGGATGTAGAGGTTCAGTGCTACGGCTTTGTTGATGGTCGTTTCTTGGTGCTTTTTTCAGAGGACACGAAGGAAGGGACACCGTACGAGCTTGATGTAGACAAAAGGGTTAGGCTTTGTTCTATCCCTAAAGATCATTAAGAAAGCTTCAACGCGTGCGGCTGACACCAGTGTGACACAACAAGAATCCGCTCACCACAGCGAAGCCAGCCAACGACATCGGTTCATATTCAAGATTCAACGAACACCAGAACGAGGTACTTCGGTCTCTTGGCTAGTCGTGGACGTTTCACATAAATCTGGGGAGACACTTGTTGACAGGGATCAGATGACCCGGGCGCTGTCTGGTTTTGCCCACAACTTTGCCGCAACTCCCAAGCATTTCCTCTGAGTCCTCGACTGTATGACCGACCAGCCTCCACGATTTGCAATCTAAGCCTGGAGGCCTGTGGCCCTATGGGGAGTTTCAGAAAACTAATCTTGGGTCATGACACTTGAGGTTCCTCACTTTTGGGATTCTCTATTGGGGTCCCCAATTTTGGTGAAAGCTATCCTCTCCGTGTCAAGCCATACGAATGCCGAGAACAGCTCTGTGAAACCGAACTACAACGTCTCTTATCACCCTAAGAGCCTATGCCTCGAATCAAACCCTCAGCCTTGAAACCTCAATCAAATGGGTGGTTGTCAAAATTATGGTCCCTTTTTGGGTACCCTAAATATCACTGTAGGTGCCGTGCTCTCAGAAAGGAACCCTAATTTTGACAACTACCCAAACATTACACTGTTATGTACACCCTTTTCTCAAAACCCCGAGCAAAGCCGAGGTCGGGTTCGATCACGAAATGGCTCTGCGGCAGCACAGAGTTACGGGGCGCGGTAAGGGAGGGTTTACCGGGGGTCTGTGGGGGTTTCTTGGTTTACAGGGGGTCTTTGGGGTTTCGTGGGGTTTACAGGGGGTTTGTGAGGGTGTCTAGGGGTTTACGGGGGGTCTGTGAGGGTTTCTAGGTGCCGGGTTCATGAGGGTCCGGAATCAAGGCGTTTTCTCTAGCCCAGCACACCAAAGTGGTGGATGGGGCCGCTCGGACGAGCGGGGAAGAAGGATTGCCGCTGACCAAAGCAAAGATATACAGAGAGAGAGAGAGAGAAAGAAATGTGGACCTAGCCTCTGCTGTATATGGTATACACAATACTGACCCTATGGCCTTCCCAAGCTGGCGAAGAGGGCATCTTGGGAATGAGCCATATATAGACCCTAACCTAAACCCTGAACCCAACCGGGGCCCCCTTTTAGGTGAGGGTTTGGGTGAGGCTATGGTCCAGAGGTTTTCGAGGTCGGCTTGCGATTTAAGATATGCATATATATATATATATATATATATAGATAGGTAGGCATCGATTTATTACATTATGACTATACTATACGTAGACTAGTTACAGTCGTCATAGTACCCACGTATCCGTACTAGACATGAACTACCCCAAATCCCTATTCCAATGGTTGAGGCCCCATATCAGGCTCAGGCGCTTCATCGCTGCAGGCGTTGCATGTGTGTGTGTGTGTGTGTGTGTTGACGCTTTGCAATCACTGCGAAGCTGAGGTGGTGCTCCCATACTGGTTGCATGTACAGCCACACTTCGCAGACGGCTGGAAGGAGAACTGCTTCTTCAATGTCCTTCCAAGCTTGGGTTGTTGTCGTTGGAGCTAAAGCCTCGCAAGGACGAGTCGTTAGCTTTTGTGGACTGCGACTTCAATGTCACGTCCCTCCCTCAAGCCTCAGCCCTATCCAAGAATGCAATCACCACGACAAGAATCCAAAACAGCGACAAGCTCGTGGTCGCAGCCTGGAGGATTACGGCGGATCGGACAGCGACCTGACGCAGTACTCAGACCTCTTCCAGCCGAGGAATGGGCTCTGCTGTGGGTTCTGTAGTTGTTTTTTGAGCTTTGCATCTTTGTCGGCGTCGCAGTGTTTTATGAGGTTTCATGTTTATGACGGACTGTTTAGGTGCTTTAAAGGGTGTACGCTGTAGCTTGTAGGGTTCCTGCTTCAGGGGCTTAGGTGTTCTGATTTTCTGCACGTGCGCAGCAAAGTTCCGTCTGTCTCTGGGTTCCCACTGCGTCGGGTTGATTCGAGGTCAGGGTTCAGTGTTGCTAGGTTGTTCAAGGCCTACCGTGAGTGAGCATACTATGGCACCTATGAGACGAGGGGCTCTGAGGGCTTCGGGTTTAAGGTATATGGGGCCCCATGATTGTTTCGCAAAAGGCAGACTTGTCTGTGCACTTTTTTTTCAGGTGGGGGGGGGGGGGGGGGGGGGTTCGGTTCTTCCACATCCGGCGTTCTGCAAGTTAGACAGCTCTTAGGAGTGTTTTGGCAGCGATGTCCTAAAGGCCTAAACTCTTATTAAGGGTTGAAGGCTTGAAACTTAGTTAGCGTTGAGGCGTGCTTAGGGTTTTTGAGTTTGGGCGCTGTGACTTCAGAGATCAGGGAGCTAAGGTTGTAGGTTTCCGCTTAACGCCACCCCTAAAGTATGGTGAACTTAGCCCGCGTGTTCGCGCTTGTCTGGCACCCGTTGTATGCGGACGCGATGTGGAAATGGCGTCATAACTTTCATCATCACGCTCACTCAAGCTCGGCATATGCGACATCTCGAAACGAACCTTCTGCTTGCATTTGTCATGACTAGATGCACGGATTTTTTTGTGGTGCTTTACCACACCATGCATGCCATTCCCGCCGAAGGCTTCGATATTTGGTCCGGCATGGAGAGATAATATTGGGGGCAGTGGCGGTTCCGGCCGCCTGGCAGCCACTTGGGCAACTCATTTTTGCAAGCCATCACTTGCCACGATTTGGGGCTTAAAAAGAACAGAAGCAAGAAAAGAGAAGACTCGACTGGTTGCTCAAGTTGACATAAAAAACGCACGAAGGCGCTTGCAAACAAGAAGCTCAAGGCCTCCGGGCCGGGTCAGGGTTTGGGGCTTAGGGCCCAACTAAGCCCTAAGCCCCAAATTGAAGCTGAAACCATGGCGCTGTTCACGGAGGTAGGTTACATCCGGCAAGCAGCGGACGAGTTCCGAGAGGAACGCAGAAAATTCGGACTTGCTTGGCATCTTTCCAGTTCTACGCCACTTTCTGGTGCTAGGGTTAGGGTTTACGGCCCTAAACCCTCAACCCTAAACCTCCAAACTCTAAACCCCTAAGCCCTAAACTCTAACCCTAAACCCCAAAGCCCTGAACCCTAAACAGCCCTAAACCCCTAAACCTTAAACTAAACCCTAAACCCTAAACTAAACCCCAAGGGCGTGCCCGAGGGCATGCTCAGCTCTCCAGGCTCACGTCACGCTCTTGGACATGGTGCATACTTAAAGGATCATGGGACTTAGTAACTAGGGTTATAATTAAGGTAACTATACTCATAACCTAATTAGGGTACTTATAACCTTACTTATTAAGTCCCATGATCCTCCAAGTAAGGGGCCATGCCCTACACTTGGGTACTGCCCCCACTCAGTAACAGTTGGATAATATTCATAATATAGATATATAAGGACCTTAATAGTAGCCCTATTATAGACTGTTACTGTATCGGGGCCGTACCCAACCCTACACTATGAAGCTCTACTAAAGACCCAAGCCCTCATACGTAAAACCCTGAAACCCCAACACCCTAAGACCTTGGAACTTAGACCTGAAACCCTAAACCCGAAGCCCCTTAAGCCCCAACCCCCAAACACCTAAGACCTTACAAGCCTTAGATTCGACCTTGCAACTCGAAAGCCCCAAAACTCAGTGGCAGGCACATGCGTTCCATGTCTGACTGGTCTCTGACAAGCACTGCCAGGCCCGTGCAGATATGTATATATATATATATATATATATATATATATTATATTATATTATATTATATTATATTATATTATATTATATTATATTATATTATATTATATTATATTGTATTGTATTGTATTGTATTGTATTGTATTGTATTGTATTGTATTGTATTGTATTATATTATATTATATTATATTATATTATATTATATTATATATGTATATATATATATATATTATATATATATATATATATATATATATATATATATTATATATACATATATATACATATGCATATAGAGAGACTGTCCTAGTCTTTCAAGTTTCGCTTCTGTCCACAATCTGGCAGCAGACAGATTTGCTGGCAATGCCTTGTCCAACCGGGGGGAACAGTCTCTTTCGTGCCCGGTGCCTTGGAAAGAACATCAATGGCAAATCGACTGGTGCGTCTTTGCTGCTGGCACGATCCGTTGACAGCGTGCCACTTGCGCTCAACTTTGGCGCGGCGTTCCTGTCGCCTCGCCGGCGTCGCTACGAACACGCTGGCACGGTTCCACCGAATTTGGGGAGCACGAGAAACATTCTCGCAGGCAGTTTTCTGTGTGCCGCCAGGCGGCGAGAAGTGGCACCGTTTCCTCTTTGCCATGCTGAACCCTGCGGCTTTGTTCGTCATGGAAGTGACTCCAAAGTTGTGTCGCAGACTTCCTGCAAGGAAGGAGATACGTCACAGAAGCCCCATGATCCTCCAAGTAGTGTCTTTGGTTTAAGGTCGACATTGAGGCGATATATTATCGGTGGTTGTCAATATTAGGGTCCTTTTTGGGGGTCCTCATTATAGTACGGCACCTAATATTTGGGGTACCCAGAAAGGGACCCTAATTTCGACAACTACCCACAGTTCTGAGGGTTGTTGACATATTGTAGCGCACTTGCAAGCTGAATGTGGGTTCTTATGTCGTCATCCTACTGGTAAAGTACGTAACCTTTAACCCTGATGGGGTGCTGGTACCCCTACATTCCCTACATAACCCCAAAGGCCGAAAAGACGGCAGACACTCATGTCGTGGGACATGAGGACCCCTACATGCGGGATTCCCGTAGCCCTGTTATCTTGGGATCTTTGTGATGATTGCCTTTCCCGGAAACCCGTTTAATCCCTTCCCCTAATATTAAAGGGCCCCCCCCCTCCCTAATATTAAAGCTGGATTTCGGAGGTTTAGTTTTTATATTAAGGGGGGTTTCGGTTCGGTGCATCCACGTACCCGGACTCCCAGCTGCTAGCTATCCTAAGCCTGGAGCCCTGAGGCCCTACTAAAGCCCTAAGCCCTAAACCGCGAGCCCTAGACCCTAAAGCCCTGAGCCCTAAACTTTAAGCCCTAAAGCCCCAAGCCCTAACCCTAAAGCTCTACTGTCTGTAGTACAGCTGTAATCTTTGGCTCTATAAAGCCCTGAGCCCTAAACTTGAAGCCCAAAAGCCCCAAGCCCTACAGCTTCAGCCCTGAGCCCTAAACCCTTAAACCCTAAAGCTCTGCTATCTTTTAGTACTACCGTAATCTTCGTTCAATTAAAACACATACAGATCTAGCCCCCCCCCCCCTAATGTTGTCTCTTTTAAATTGAATGTGGGGCCCGAAACCGCGAAATTCCGGGGGCCGGGAGTTGTTATATTAGGGGGGGTTGAAGGTTAAGGGGAAGCGATTACAACAGAACGATGGACGTTTTGACTCACGGGCTCGAAAGCGAGATTGGTAGGGTCTCTCTTTGATCGGTTTTGTACCTACCAACAGCTCGTGACAAGCTTTTAAAGTTTTGGGCTCAAGCTTTACACAGGAATTTCCGTGTTTAGTCAGCCGTGCTTAGTCAGGTTGACAGCTGCCTGGATTTTGAGTTCAGGGCTTCAGGGTTTCGGGTTTAGGGAGGGTTGCGCAGTGTAAGGCTGTATAGGCTAGAAGTGCTTGGATGCTCATGGGTATTTATAAGTGGGATTAGGTCATAATTATGATTAAGTACCCTACTTATAAACCCACTTCTAAATACCCATGAAACTCCAAGTAGAAGTGGGGTTGGCACAGAAGCCACGCAGCTCCGGGGCCTTCCGTATTTCGGGATCCAGCAGCCACGAACAGTGCATGACTGCTTTAAACGGGTTCTACCACGACGTTAAGGCAAGGGGATAGACAAATAAACTATGTCTCCTTTACAGTATGGCTTAAGGACCTTACAGAAAGGATGGCAAGGGGAAGATATACCGTAACTACCATACAATACCAAGTAATTGTAACGATTATAACGGTTACCTGCAACTTGCGGCTGCTTGCTAAGTCGCTTGATCAAATTTTGGCGAGTTGCTAGTTCGCTTGATCCTCCGAGAGTTGTTTCTCTCGATGTGCATCCCTGGTTTGCCGTACCTTCTTGAACTGAACTGCAGAGCTTGTTTCGTCGTCGTTGTGTTAGTTTGTTGGTTTCTGTTTGTCTGTGTGCTTGTGCTTGGTGTGCAGCCCTGTTAGAAGCGGATTTATGTCGGACCCAACAGCTTGTGGTAGCTTGTAGAAACAGAGGCTGATTGAAGAGTGAAGGGGTTGCCTGTTCACTACCAATATTCCTCCCCAAGCCCCAACTCCAAGCTTTTGAGGTTCTACAAAGAAGGAACATCCTGAACCCTGGACCCAAAGCCCCAACTGCCAGTGCCGGGGCCTTGATGAATGACAGCGGCTTTTAGGCATCTGGTACAGCTAGATGGGTGGTTATCAAAATTACGGTCCTTTTTTGGGTCCTTAGCATACTACGGCACCTATTGTTTAGGGTACCCAGAAACGGACCCTAATTTGACAACCGCCCATATGTTGGCGACAATGGGATACTCGCACTAATCGTTCAGACCACTAAGACACGTCGGTGCTTTCCGGAGCTTCTGTGACCTGTAACAAGCTAATGTAGGTACCTGGTGATGGTCTACCTGTTTTCTTTGAGGGCCTTGATGCTAGGATGAGAAATGTAACCGTTTTTCAGGGAGACGGTACAGCAATTCAGGAGATTACATCAGGGTTGAGAGTTTCTGGGCTTCAGGGCAGCGTAGACATCGTGCTTGACAGGCTCTGGCTGCCTCTGGGTTATGGCCCTGCTTCGGCGCGGCAGGCTTGGATCGAGGTTTTAATCAATCTGAGGAACCCTGCCTTATAACGCCACCCCAAACTCTATCGTGGCCAATTTCGAGAAGGTAGTCGAGCCTGGTCACAGTGTCACAGTACGCCGAATTTGCATGTGCATGGCCATCAAAGAATTCTAGTTTTCGCTCCTATAGAACTCATTCAGGGCTTGGCCGCATCAATGGCTGCGAACATGATGCGTTACATGGTCCATGTCCTTAACGCGCACGCTTGGAATCAAGGCATAAGCTTTTTCTGAAGGCTCTAGATGATGCAAAACGGCTTATGGTTCTGGGGATTTCTGGGGATGCGGATAGCCACCACCGATCATTTCCAAGCCGACAGTTGCAATGGCTTTCGAGTATGTGTTTCCATGTTGCACCTACCCAGAAAGGGCCATACTGCTTGGTCCGGAAAATGTCGTCCATCATCATGAGAAGCCAACAGCTCCTTACTCATACAGCATCTGCGTGGTCCTGAAACCCCAAACCTTGGCTCAGGCTATGCCTGGCAGCATCGTGGACTTGGCACGGAGCTTGTTGTGACAAGAGAACCTTCTGGCCGTGGAGTGCAGGGACTACAGCCGAAACCCTCTCAGTTTAGGGCGACGCTTTCAACCGCAAGCTCTATGATTTTAGATTTTGGTGCTGTATATGGTGTATAAACTCGTACTGCTACCCCACCGGAACACACCTTCAGTTTAAGCTGCTGGATCAACGCTTTGAGGTTCAGGGTTTATAGACGGTTCCGGGTGTACGGTTTGGGGTTCAGGGCTTAGGGCGTACATATGGCTGTTTGTTCAAGGTTTAGGGTTTACACCGATTCAGGGAGTAGGGTTGAGGGTTTGAGTTTGTGGTGAGCTATTACTGGCTTTGCTGAGCGTGCAGGTTTGAGCGTTCCGGCTTTGAGGTGTCCAATATATAGGGGCTTGAATCACGACCTCGCAATGAGGAACTCCCTTGTAGTCCGTATGTAACTCATAAAATACCGCAGAAACCCATTGAGGTCACTAAGTGCGACGGCTCTTGCATCATGCGGCGATTCCTCGTGCTGGCTGAGGCCCTGAGGCACTTCACCTTGGACTTGGCTCCCAGCACCAGCCCCGGCATAGCTGTTTTCGCAGGTTTTCCTGCTTACAGGCTGGGGGTGGTTTTGCACCATCAATATCTTCAGAGGGCGTTAAGGGCCAACTTATGTAGATGCTTACCTTAGTTGGGTTTTGAACGAGACATGTGGGCGTTATCGTCGGGGTTTGTCCGGTTTTCATACTAACAAGAAACTAACAATATAGGGTTCGGCATGATTCTCAATGGTATTCCCTTATAGCCTTTCTACATGTGTGCACGTATAGTTTGTTGATGTGCCGTAAAAGCTTGTTCGAACTATCAAGGCCCCTTGAAGTAAGTGATATCTAGTTCGGATGCAGGGTTCGATTCAAGATGTGTGGAAGCTGAAGCTTTGTGGTTTAGGGTGTAGGGCCAGTGTAGGGGTGCAGGGGTTAGGTTCAGGGGTTTAGGGTTTAGAGCTTAGCGTCCAGGGATTCAGCGGATCAGGGTTTCACCTGGTAAGGTTGAAAGTATCCTAATCGGAATTGTTTGGGGTTTGAGGCCTATCCTATGTACTCTGAACCGCTAGCCTCAAGAACCAAGCTACTTGTTATCAGGCCTTTGAAGTTCGGGAATATGGGCACTAGGATTTTGGGTTGCGGGTCTGAGGGGCTTCGGGTTTGGGTTGGATACTGCCCCCACGCAGTAACAGTTGAATCATATTCATAATATCGTCATATTAGACCCTTGATAGTAAATAGCCCTATTATAGATTGTTACTGTATGGGGGCAGTATCCAAGGTCTAGGGTTATAGTAGGGAATGTTCTCATTTCGAGCACTGAAGCTGCTCCCGGACTCAGAGGACATGCACGGGTACCGACATGCACACACGCACGCACTCACATGCGCACAGACACACAGAGGAACCATGTAACAAGGAAGGGTATGAAGTTTTATAACGAATAAGCAAGCCACCAATACCAAAACACACACAGGCACAAATGTTTGAAGCCCGCATCCCTCGCTTTTGTTAAGGACCATTCAAGAAGAAGGCCTTCCACAACGGGAGGACCGGCCTGACGCAGCAATAGCAAAGCCAAGATGCTTCTTGCGAGTGTGGATGCATTGTAGCCCTACTTGCTCGGCCCTCAGTAGCTACCGTGACAGGGAAGGGGTGCCGGATACTCCGCATCATGCAGCGGATTTCCTTTGCTGTAAGCCAGCAGGAAGAGACAGCAACCTCGCCGGAAGCGCTTGCGATCGCCGGCGGATGCAACTGCCGAGAACACGGCCTTCATAGACGAGGCTGGGGTGTTGCCAAGGAACCTTTGCAAATTGACATAAACGGGTGATTGCGACTGTGTAAATTGCAAATGGGGTGTCCCTGTACTGTACACCCCGATTGCAGGATCACGGGATTCTGATAAGTTGGGATATGTTCGGTAACTATAGAACTCCTAGCCCAAGTAAGGTACTGAGGACCCCTGTCAACCACGCCCCTTGATTGATCCTTTGAATATATGCATCTTTAGCCCCGAAACATCGAGACTCCTGACTCCGAAAGCTTGATAAACCCTGCAAGCCGATGGTGGTCTGACGGGGGGCTTTTAAGTATTGAGAGGAAGCCACATCATGTGGTAGAGAGGGGTCAGGTTGCAAGAAATGCAAGTTGTATTCGGGCCCCAGAATCAATTTTTTTGGAACGGTTCATAGAAGCCACGAGCAGAAATCGTTTTCATGCCAGTGGTGTTCAGGCTGCGGGCTTTGGGGCTCGTGTGTCTGGTTTTGGGTTTTTAACCTTCGTACTGAGGGTTTAGGGTTTATGGTTTAGGGTTTAGGGTTTGGTTTTCATTTTTCAAGTCTTGAGCCCGAACGAGTCGAGATATCTTGGTGAACCGGTCTGGCAACTTGGGGACGGTTTAGGGTTTAGGGTTTCGCTTTAGGGTTTTGGGGCAGTGGTGAATCCGATCGGGGATCCCAGTTGCTCAGGTACATACCCCGTCGTCGTTAGGACAGGAATTATACACTTTCAATCCAAGGAGCAGGTCCATGCCCAAAAAAACAAGAGTACTACAAGGGCCTAAATCATTAATTGCCTACAGCAGTTTTGTTTTGGCGGGGTTCCTTGTTGTATTCATAGATATAAATCCCATTCTACCTATTAAGGCCCCTGGAGTAAGCCATTCAGGTCTACACTGCGAGGGGGCAACCCGTCTACCGCACCATGCCTTGACGGTCTAGGGTTTAGGGGTTGTAAGGGTTTAGGGGATTAGGGCATTTGGGGTTCAGGGTTTACGGATTTCGGGGTTCAGGGATCAGGGGATTAGGGGTTTCAGGGTTTACGGATTTAGGGGTTTAGGGTTTAGGCGTTGAGGGTCTGAGTCGTTTTTTTGGGCAGGCCTTCTGACATGGGCAGTGTCTTAGCAGAGCAATCCACTGGTGCTTTTGCGCCGGTTGCTCTTACAGTTGATCTGTCTCGTAAGGTTGAGGCATGATTTGTGGTAGTAGTGGTGTTGAGCTGCTGCCTGCTAACATTAAATACTATTGTGTTTATGGTCATCCTTGTTTTTTCGTGGTGGTGGTGGTGGTGGTGGTGGTGGTGGTGGTGGTGGTAAACCCCCAACCCCTGAAGCGTAAACCCCAAAACCCCTTAAACCCTGAACCCCTAAGCCGCGAAACCCTAAGCCCCAAAGCCACTTAAACCCTAAACCCCAAAGCCCCTAAACCCGGAAGTGAGAAGTATGTCGGAGTCTAGGTTGGATTTGGGACATTTTTTATTTTCCTTATTTGGGTTTATAAGAGACCCTATATATAAATATTTTTCAGGGTGTTTAAAGGCCAACCCAGTAGTAGTCGGAGGAAGTTTGGAGCCTCCGACTGCGACTCGAGCTGAAGTCTGAGCTCAGAGTCCTGAAGCAGTAGGAGCCAACGGCCTCGGGTCTTCAGAGAGGGCCTTAAGGAATACTTAGGATTCCTTAAAGGGACCTAGAAGGGATCTATAGGGTTTAGGGCTTAGGGAACTCCAATACCCCTTAATTAAGCAATACACCTGAAATTATAAGGTGCTTCATACTATGAGTTAAGCTATGTTCCTTTAACTAAGTGGTACTGGGCTCTCTGGGTCTACCTTAACTCCAAATAACCTACATGTTTAGGGTGCCCTATAATATGAGTTCTTAGTATAAGTCCTTAGGTAGGTTATTTGGGGTTAGGGTAGAGTCTAGAGTTGTGTAGCGTTTAGGAGAAGGGATGTAGGATCTATAGGGTTGAAAGCATCGGCTTTAGGGTTGAGGGCGAAGGAGAGTGGGGGGGGGGAGCGGTTTAGGGTTTAGGGTTTAGGGTTTAGGGTTTCGAAATGCAAGGCCCCTGCTTCGACCGATTCACGGTCGCCTATCTTTAGGTGTCAGGTGTCCCACATGCCATTCCGGCCTAAACCTGTAGCCCCGAACTCTTTAGGAATCGGCGTGGATCTTAGGTGAAGGCGCCCTGCCTGGCCCCGTGGGTGGCTTCCGCACTTTCCGCGAGGTGGATTTGAGAGACGATTGGGGTGTCCAAGGTTTACGGTAGTTTAGGGTTTTTGGCCTTTGCATGTTTCAGATTTCAGGTCCTTGGAAAATTAGTTGGAGATTGTTTACTGCACATAGCGAGCCTAGGCTTTCAGCTTCCAGGGAATGGGAGTTGAAAATGTGGTCAAGCGCGTCAAAGTTTACTTTGGGGTTTCGGCTGACGGTACCGCGTTTTGTATCCTGAACGCTAACCTGGTGCGAGTATGAGATTGCGATGATTTCATTTTGAGGTGCCAACATTGTCTTTGAAGGAGCCTCAAGATTCGTGAATCCAGAGGAATTTATTCCTGTATTAAGTATAGCATCCTGAAGGCACCGTGTGACCTCTTGAACTCGAAGCCCGAACCCGAGCACGAACACTAAATCCTAAACCCCGAATCCTCGATCCTTAAGATCCTGGATTTCAAAACCTGAAACCGGCGCCTTACCTGTACTATTTTGGGGGTCCTTTTTGAAATTCTAGTATAATTAGGCGTACCAGTCTCTTTCATGAATGGGCCCCAAAACTCTATTCTATCACTAACTATTAAGGCCCCTATATTAGTATTTCTCTTGTATCTGGCAGGTGCGCCTCGTCGGATTTGAGGATCAGGCCACCGCTATTGTCCCTACCTCCCCTAGTAACCTAGTTCCCCCGTGCCCGTTCTAGTCTGGTGTTTCCGTCTTGAAGCTGAATATTAGGAACCAGGGTACCCGTGTGATGGACGGCTGGCGGCCCTTGTGCCATTGGGGTTCTGTTCATCTCTTTTCATCAGCCCCAACCCTGGCCCCGTAAACCCCGTGAAGCTTGAACGTTATAAGCCCGAGAAACTTTAAACCTTAAACCCTGACTCATTCTCAAACCGACAAAACCCTACACAGAACATGACACCAGGTAAGCAGGAAAGAAAAGCAAAACGAGGCTACATAACCTCATAGGACCGATAAACAATATCAGTACCACCCTTGTGCTAAGCAATCCCTCAACAGTTCACCCTAGGGCTGCTCCACGTTGCAGGGCTTGTCTTGGAGTGTCAACATCCGGGCCTCTCGGGAGCTGCGCTTCTTCTGCCGAGCGGAGCATCGTCGACAAGGCTGGCACCCGGCATCCCGCGGCCCCTATTAAGTTTAGAGTTTACGGCTTTTAAGATCGTCAGCGTTGAGTTTAGAGGGTGGTAGCATGGGGTTTAGGGTGTAGGGTTCTTGTTAGCTGAAGAGCTAGGTCAAGCTGCCAGAGCAGGGCTATTTGTCAAATTGTTTCCTTAGTTTGCAACATGAACTAAGTTCCCAGACCCGCGGGAGGATCCAACAAGTATATCCCTTAATGGGGAGTAGTTTAGGGGGGCAAATTAGGGGATCTACTTTCCAGATCCTCCCGGGGGTCTGGGTTCATGAACAAAACCCTAAACCCTAAACCCTAAACCCTAAACCCTAAACCCTAAACCCTAAACCCTAAACCCTAAACCCTAAACCCTAAACCCTAAACCCTAAACCCTAAACCCTAAACCGTCAGTCAACCTCCAAGCTTGCGAAAGACACCAGAGGGCGCCCTCGAAGTCCCTGAAACTACCCAGCTTAGGGTTTAGGGTTGAGTTCTCTTCTGAAAGGGTTCATGATGGGAAACCTGAATTCCGATGTTATTGTTGCGGAGGATTCGGGTTGAATGATATCACATGGTGGCTACAGTGTACGACTGGCATTTTACTGGGACTTCTCTCCAGTTTACAGGTATAGTGAAAGTCTCATTCTGCGAGATTGCTGTTTGCCAGCTGAAGCATCTCTGATGTTTTTTTTACGGGCAGTCGACGCATCTCTCACTCTTGTCTTTGGTTCAGCGGGTTGATGAGAAATCTGTGGAACTGCACCGTGCGAGCTGGTTCTTTGCTCAAGAACATTAATAATGGCACCCTACCGAAGCCCATAAAGTCCCAAGTCCCTACACCCCTGAAGCCTAAACCCCCACCTTAACCCCAAGTAGCCTACCTTGTTGAGATTCCTTATGATGGTTTCCTCACAAAAGTCAAGAAGGTAGGCTATTTGCGGCTAAGGTAAGCCCCTAAACCCTAAACCCGTAAAAGAGGCGTTTCGGCTCCGCGTCAGTTTCCCTAGTGGTCGCGCGGTAGCCAAACCGTAAGCGTGGTCTCCGACCCGCGAACATCTGCCCCGCGCCGTTGGCGGGCAGTCAATCCTGGTTCCTTGGAAGCACTGATCTGGTTTCGCCCTGGTGTTCTCCTTGGTTCCTCTTTTTCCGTTTATGGTTAGGCCTGGGTGTGCCTTTCCTACAATCCTTTTGGTCCTCTACCTCCTCGCCTGCAGCAGTTTTGGCGTGGGAGAGTTCAGGGCACAGGAAGCTGCGAAGACAGCGAACGCAAGCTCGCACACTCCTGAGGAGTTTTCTGAGTGGTGCGAGCTTTCCCAGAAGGGCTGTGGAGGAGGCCAGCAGGACGCTAGCCGGGCACCACAGCGCCAGCCATTTGCCTGGTCAGGCTCTACGCAAGCTGGAGACCATGAGCAAACATGCAGCTTGGCAGTGCAGCCGCTGCAAGAATTTCTGCAAAGGAACGGCTCAGTTCTGTTCGAGCTGCGGAGCGGCTTGGCAGGAGACGAGCACCTACGGGCCTACGGACAATACCCCAGCACCGTGGGGACAGGACTCGTGGAATGCCTACGGTTGGAGAACGCCGTCTTCGCCAAGGTCACGAAGCAAGTGGAACCAACCCAAGGGCAATGGCAAGCCAAAGTCGCCGAGGGGGCGACGACCACAGGCCAAGGGCAATGGCAAGCAGGAGCCGGGACAGCCATCGGGAAAGGGTCCTGGGCCACCTCCGGCTGTGCCATTAGCCAAAGATCTACCGGTGCCTCCAGTTCCACAGGTACCAAGCTTGCCCAAGGAGAGCACAGCGGCCCCTTCACAGGGAGCCGAGGCGCAGCTTTTGCAGCGCATCCTGGGCGAGCTGGACCGCTCGCGCGAGGACCTGCCTCACAACCTCAGGGACCTCATCGACGAGCACACCACGGAAGAGCACCGAGTGTCTGGACGCGCCATGCATCGCTTGGCCGCTTGGTGTCGTCCCAGACGACTTCCAGAAGAGAGATAGCGCAGATCCAAGCCGCACGCCGCGACTTTCTGGCCAAGTGGTCGGAGTACACGGCACAGATGTGCCAGGCGTGGGAGAAGCAACTGGCCGAGAAGGCCAAGGCGATGACGGAGTTCGACACATCGGAGGAGCGTTGGACTCAGCAGCTTGTCGAGGCCACCAAAAGCTTGGCGCGTATGACCGGGGAGGGCCCGGCAGGAATCGAAACAGTTCCGGACTCGGAGGAAGAGCTCCTGGAAGAAAGCGAGCAGATGGTGGACGACGAGCTGCAGCGAGAGTCGAAGCGCCGGCAGTTCCGGCAGCAGATGCAGGAGCGGGAGTCTCAGATCTCGCAGTCTCTACAGGCGGCCTCGCAGGCGGCGCGAGACCAAGCTCTCTTCCTCGACAAGACGGAAAGAGAGCGATCGCCCCGGCGGAAAACCGATCCAAAGGGGGGAGGCCCAAAAGCTGCCAAGATCAAGGAGGAAGAGCCAGTCGGCGCCGGGGAAGGCGCGTCTGGGCTCCCTGGCTAGGCCCCACGGCGAGTCTTTCGGGATACGTGGGGCCGTGGTTCGTGCCTCTTTTTGGGCACCAACATACGGTTACAGCGGAGGATGACTATGTGAGCCCGATGTTCGCCGCCTTTTTGGGTTTACGACGACAATACGAGCACCGTATTGCGATGTGCGGGGTCTCCTCCTCTCTGTGCCTTGATCCGCGAGAATATGAACAGGACAGTGAGACCCCTGGATGGGAGGTCTCTTTCGACGTGAACTTGTGTGGCTGTGACCCAGTGAAAGGCGCAAGCTTGTGTGATCCTGTTCAGTGCGGTGATCCTTTCGTCTTCCGGAGCTCCCACCTTATGGCCCCTGGTGGTGAGCCTGATGCGGCGAGAGTTTCATCCTTGGACAGGCTCACCGGGCTTTCGAGCCATCACTTGAGGCCAGCCGGCACTGAACAACAGCGAACTGTACAGCAAGACTCTGAGCGGGATGTACAGATTTGTTCTTTGGCTAGGCGTAGGACTGTTTCCTTTGCCTCAACCACCGAGGTGATACACTTTCGCACGTCCGACCGCCTCAGTCCCTTTGTAAGACTGGGACAGCATCAGCAACCTATCCTCCGGGGATCTTCTCCCTTGGAGGTTGCCAGCCCGCCACAGCAGGCAGTATACCCCTCCACCTCTCTTGGCGGCAGGAAGGGCGGTTCCGTGTCGGACCCTACTGCCCGCACCCCTTATCTCTGGCTGCCTGATCTACCATGCATGCAGCTTGGCACCTCATCGGGAGTGCCTTGGCCCGGCCAGGCAGCTCCCCTCGTGTGGGTCGAGCCTTCCCCCCCCAATACTCTGGCATACAGCATCTCTGCACCAGTGCCAGTCGATCCGCCTGAGGTTAGGGGGGGTGGTTTTGTGGTTCCTGTAGATCAAGCGGGTTTGATCTCGGCATCAGAGCTCGCAGAGCAAGGCAGACAGTACACTGTTTTCGAGTATCAGCGACGACCCCGAGTCAGGAACTTTGGGGTGGCTTGGTCTCTTCAGGACATTGTCGCGGATGCCATCAGAGCAGCGCTGGCACCCACACGGCATGTTCGGGTGCTTGTGCCGCCCTTGTCGGGCTTTCCAGTCCCCCAGCTGGTCCTCACCCGACGCGCGGCTCCGGCCGGTTGGCATGCTGTTCCTTGTGATCTTAGGGGCACTGGCAGTGAAGTCGTCACTGCCGAAATGCCAGGGCTGGTCCGGATCTCCGACCTACCGGCTTTGGTACAGGACGGTGCGATAATGCCTTCACTCTTTGTCTTGCCCAGGGCTCCTGTCGTATGGGCTGATGATGCTGGTAGAGTGTTCCGGGACCTGACGAGCATGCAAGGAGGTTGGCAGTGGCTTGCTATACAGCCTCCACCTCCCCTGGGACCACCGCCTGATCAGCCTTCTGCGGGCTATGCTTCTGGTCATCCGACCGGGAGCTCCACCCCGACCACCACCGCCATGCAAGCCATGCCAGATCCACAGGTTTCAGGTGCACAATCTGCAGGTCACCAAGGTGTTACACCAGCTCAGGCGCTCCTGCTTTCAGCAGCCAGTGAGGAAGCTGACCCTTACCACGCGCAAGGCGCCGGGCTATATCCTGCGTGCATAGAACTCCGCCCGGAGTATCTCCGCCAGTCCTCTGTGGTGCACCGGCCTCTGGCGGATCTGTGCTTATTCCGTGCATTGTCAGCCAATACCGCCTTCCAGTTCTCGGTGTTGGCTCCGGGCCTACCAAGCCTGGCCTTGCCTGCGTTCAGCGACTGGACCCTGGCCAGCTTCTTCCATGCGGCGGTCAACTCGGTCTCAGAGCTGCCTCAATCAGTGCAGCTTCTGACCAACAGCTTGCCGGATCTTCCGGAGCCGCAATTTGTGCTCACCACTGCAGGCGCTAGTGCACATGCCATACCGATCGATTGTCGAAGTGTCGGAGGCTCGGTTGCAGTGTTGCAGACCCCGGTAGGTACGGGTCTGAGTGCCCTTGTGCTCGATATTCCTGAGATTGCCGAAATGGACCTGGTTCAGGAGCTTCTTCTTTAGAGGGACCTCTTTTTGCAAGATTCTAGGGGGGGCGTCCACACCGCAATACCAGAGGATGCTGCTGAGCTGCAATGGTTTCGCCTCGTCAGGCGTGACAGCATTGGACGCCTCTTCCTTCCGGCGGCCACCTCGACTTCCACCACCACAGCCACAACCGAGATGCAGAGCGATGGACCCACCACCGTCCGCTTCACCGTTACTGGTGCCGGTATGACACTGACAACGGCGCCGGTTCCCTTGCCGCAGTTTGATGTAGTGGAAGAGCTGACAACTTTGATTGTCGCAATGACCCGAACAGGCAGGCTGCCCCCTGATGCACACATGCTTATGGCAGCAGCCTGGCCTTTGCCAGCCGGGGATCGTCATTTCAATGTGCCCATCCTAGTTTACCAACCAGGAGAGCACCAGCATGTTGTCTTCGACCCCTCCTTTGACGGGTCGCAAATCCACA